CACACCCAGCAGCACGCAGTGCATGTAGTCAGGGACCATCCCATTGATTAAATCAAACAATCGTAAATCTGCTAGAGGAGATGAACCCTTTATGCCCAATATAGTCTTCTGTTCTATTTCAGCTATTTTTCCTATTTCTACTGTAGTTTTATGATTTCTATCACTTGGCTTTTCATCAGGACATGCATAAACCCTTGTATTTCCTTTCCCTTTTCTTATTTGCATTCCAGGGTGAAGGCAAGCTCCACAGCCAAACTCACCATTGAACTGCTTAAAGTTCTGTAGCAGTGGCCTTGCTACTGCATCACACACACAACACAAAGTGTGCACTTTTATGTGTCTCAATGACTGGTCACGAGGATCCTGCCACTCAAAATCAGCTTGAGAAAGATTTGTACACTCCTCAACAAATGGTTTAAAGAAGCAAGCCATGTCTGGCTTCTTGGATCCAAACCATAAGGCACATAAAAGTACATGTTTATCTCTACTTTCAGGTGGTATCTCATTAACACAACACAATATTGGCCAGATGCTAAATTTGGAGGACTGAAAAACTGGTACACCATCAGAATTGAACGTGAGCGATAGAAAATCCTCTTTGCTGTTAGACTTTAAGGTCTGATACAAGCTGCCATCACATATGTCCTTTATGACATGCCTCCCACTGACATCTGCACGAAAACATAAATCATGCATACCATGGTTCTCAAGAATATCTTTCAGCTGATCCTTTAATGGTATACTAATGAAAAAATGGCCTTCCTCTAAACTGGCTTGCACTGTAGTGGATAAGGAACATGGCACACATGTGAGCATTTCCTCTGGAGTCTGTGAAGAACCAGTGTACTTAGTACAGACATTACAGTAATGATGTTGCTCAAACTGCTTAGTAATATCAGCAAATGGTTTCTCCAGAAAATACTTGCTTCTTGGAACTGCAGTGGTCCCAGCAGAATGCAACTTCAGCAGTTTCAGAAGGTCCTCCATTAATACTCCTGTAGTGTTGTGCCTCAGTGCAAAGGAAAGAATCGAGATGATGCTTTGCTCTTCTGTTAGTCCGTGGGAGGAGTGGACATCACATTTTTCTTGAGGACAATTCTCCTAAATGGGTGAAAAAGCACTGTGTTACAACTGAGCACTTCACTTCACATTTTGATTTAATTGTGTTTTTCCACATAAACTAAGTATTAGGTCAGTAAAACTCACATTGCAATAACTTTTTTGTTTTTACCTTATGTTACAACACATACACAACATAACTTCACTGAATGTAAGCAGAGAATTTTGAGACAGTTCAAGAGATGTTTATAAAATGTAAACAGCTCTGTAAAACATTTAAAGCTACCAATCTTAATCAAGGATGAAAACAAAAGGCAATAAAAATGTATGTACATTCACTAGAGTTCCCTCCCAGGATTTTAGATTATCCGCCAGTCCTCCTTCCCTCTACCACTTACTGTTGTTGTTCATATCAAGCAATCTGCAAGTTACTCTACACAACTGATTTTACCTCTAGTTGAATAAAGATCCAGTGTAAAAGATATTACCGTGTAATTTTTAATATTTTGATCATTCATATCATAGTGCACTGAAAAATATAATCAATTCTTAATATATTTTAATGATACACTTCCTATAGCCTATCTAGACTACTTTTAAGAAGTGAAAAATACAAACAACATTAGATAAAGTTGGCCAGACCACAGCCTCACAAATGTGATGTTATCTTTAAGCTGTGATTGTCTCTCTAAGAAACTTCAGTATTTAGCAGAGTGGCATGTATAGAATGAAAGATATGAGCATAAAATTAATGTGTACTTGTAGAACAGTGTACAAAAATGCATTGCTGTCTCAGGAGATATTATAGCAACATTTTGGGCTCCAATGATTAATGAATCAATCCTACAATGTAATTAACCTTAAATCTCACCTGTACCACTGTAGAAGATTATGCTCTTTGATCTTGTCTTTGTGTAGCACTAGCATCTTCATTGTTGTCCTGAGAAGGATAGAAATAAACCACTTGTTACAGGGAAAGACTGATGGAAGGGGAACTGATTATTTGACATTTAAGTTTTGTCTTACCTCTGTACTTGCAAGCGGTTCAGCATTCCGCTCTTCTGTCTGACTGTAGTCTTCCTCACTTTCCTAAGAATAACATGAAAGAACAGACAAGTTACTGCAATTTAAGAATGATAAACACATGAAAAGTTTTGTCTGAAGTTTTGCCTCACCTGTGCCACTTTGAGAGGTCCTGCAATCAGCTCACTTCTTCGGGTGGCATCTTCACTATCCTGAGAGGAACATGAATCAATTAGTGAAAAGATAAATGAATTACAGATGTAACAGATATGATCTAATACGAGCACTGGGATTGACTTTGACAATTCACACAGTGCAGAAGAGACTTCGTATGCAGTGCACATGTAACGAGAATGAAAGTAAAACTGCCGAATCTCCTCATTGTCAAAGACAAAGAGAATTTCTCTTTTGGAAGGGCGGGGGGGGTCTTACCCTTGGACCTGTGAGACGAGTTTCTGCTCTCAGTTCTCTCTGGGTATAATCTCCGTCACCTTCCTTTAAATCATACAAATAACTCGTTTCAGACTTCACACAGCTAAGACATGAAGGACAAATGAGTAAATTGCACTCACGTGTTGTTGCGTAATGTGCTCCCCAATGTCAGTGAAAGCTTGGTTGATTTTTCTAATAAAACAATGAGCAGCAAGTTACAGTTACTTTCAAAAAAGTGTCGACAATAGCTAATATTAGCTGCATAAAACAACAGTGCGCATAAAGTCATTTTTGGTTAAATATAAAAAGGACATATTTATTCAGAGTCTGTCTCTCATTTGTTTTGGTCCTGTGAACACACCAGGCGTTTTTGGCAAGGTATCTGTCGCTTCATTACGGAGCCCCCTAGGGGACATGGGGATTTTTTTTTCTTTTGCGTTCCCTTGCAATACTTTTGCGTTAGCTCTCAACATTTTTGCGTTCCCTCGCAAAACCTTTTGCGTTACCTCTCAATATTTTTGCGTTCCCTCGCAAAACCTTTTGCGAGGGAACGCAAAAGTTTGATGCAGCGTTCCGGAACCTCGCAAAAGGTTTTGAGAGGGAATGCAAAAATGTTGAGAGGTTACGCAAAAGTATTGCGAGGGAACGCAAAAGAAAAAAAATTCCCCATGTCCCCTAGGGGGCTCCGTACTTCATTATGGACAATATTTATGATAAATTTGAACTTTATTTTAAAGATGTTTTATTTGGAATCACAAAATATAAAAGAGACATTTCTGAACATTTCTTCTTATGTAATCTTTTGTTACTGTTGGCCAAATTTTATATCCACAAATGTAAAATAATTGTGACTAAACCCTCCTGTATTTTTTTTAAGGAAGCAACTTCTTATTTTTCTACATTGTCCTCCTCCAATAATAAAAAGGCTGCTAAAACTATAACTTTATACTCTAAATTTAAAGTATTTATATAATCCCTTTATATGCTTCTATTTATTGTTACTATTTTTACTTTTATTTAATTACTTTTTATTTTATATTTTTTTTCTTTTGCTCAAACCCATGGTGATTGTTCACTACGGAGCCCCCTAGGGGACATGGGGATTTTTTTTTTTCTTTTGCGTTCCCTCGCAAACCTTTTGCGTTACCTCGCAATATTTTTGCGGCCCCTCGCAAAACCTTTTGTGAAGTTATATAAAGCACATATTCATTTTTTGCATCCATGCTCTGTTGTATATGTTTTAAGTCAAGTCAAGTCAAATTTGATTTATAGAGCACATTTAAAATAACCGAAGTTGCCAAAGTGCTGTACAGGTAAAAATACACATAAAAAGCTAACATAACTAACATTTAGCAGACAGTACGACTGTACTGTCTGCTCCATTGTCGTCTGGTTCCGGAACGCTGCCTCAAACTTTTGCGTTACCTCGCAAAAGGTTTTGCGAGAGAACGCAAAAATATTGCGAGGTAACGCAAAATAAAAAAAAATCCCCATGTCCCCTAGGGGGCTCCGTAATTCACTGTAAATTGTTCCTTTTTCTGTATTATAAAACTTTTTCTAACAAAGTTTATTAAAAAACAACAACAACAACAACAAAAACAGTGCGCATACCTTTTTTTCCATCTGGTCAAGGTACGAGTAGGAACATTTTTCCGTAGCCAGTCTCTTTCAGTTGTGTCTGATGTAACGAGTTTTCTTTTCAGCATTGCTGTAGTCAGTTTACTCTATTTTCCGTGGAAAATCGCTAAAGCTATCGAAGCTAAAGCAGTCAGTGGTGTAGATGACGTCGTAGTCCAACAAGTTAAAACGTTTGCTTTGAGCTCTGAGGGCCGTAATTTGTTAAGAGTATGGTCAAACATCAGGAAACACAGGTAAGGTAGGGCGGGCAATCCCACAACGCACTTGGCAGCTCAACGCGAGACCTTGAACGTGGTCACGCGAGATTGTGTGATCTAAGGAAGAGCGGGAAGTTGCGGTGGTCCGTTAATGCAGCATCTTCGCCTTGTGTGCATCTTGTAAAAGATGGAAACTACGCGGAGGAATGCACCTAATGTTAAAGGTATGTACTTTTCAGTTTATTTTTATATATTCAGTCATATATTCAGTCATATATTCATTACTCATATAAGGCTTGCTAAAAGTGGTTAGCTGAGTGCTAACCACATCGAAACAAATGATGACCATTAAGAAAATTTTCAAACTTGATATGCGTAAGCCAGAAACCGTACAAATATTTTACATTGTGGTATAAAAAAAATTTTCCCCAGGAGAAAGCAATGACTGA